TGAAAATGTATACTCAAATCTCCATATTAATTATGACAATATATATGCACTTGACTTTTTGTAATTTGAAAAAGGAAAATGATTTGTACATCATTTAATTTAATACACTTAACAACATTCATCGGCTCAATTATTAAAAAATTAATATTTTCAAATTTAAATTCAAGACGAGAAAATTTTCAAAAATAAATTTCAATGATTGAATCGATGAATATTAATAAATGTGTTGAATCGAAGGGTGTATCAATTATTTTCTTTTGAAAAATATGCACTTAACCACCAAGTCTATTGAGTATTAAGGGTGAAAAGTTTAAATTAATACTTGAAGAAAAGTGTATGGTTTTCAAATTGTAAGGGGTTAAAAGTAAATCATCTGCTGTATAAGAGTCAAGAGCGTATTTTTGCGAACAATATTGAGAGGTTATGTACTCCAATCTATTGAACCATGTTCGACAGTTTTGTACAATCTCTTTGACACGTGTATTAATTAAAAAAACACACACACGTGCTTGTACCATAATTGTGTTTATTAGTTCCAAATTCTTAAATATCATATATTCTAAATGAAAATATTGTAATTAGAATATCATATAATATTATAAGTTTATAACATGATGTATTATTAGTTATATAATTTTTTTTATTTAAAAATTTATCTATAATATTATATACATTTATTCATTTAATAATACATTATAATTGTAAACTTACAATATTATATAGTATTGTAAGTATAACATTCCCTATCATAAACACATTATTTTCCACAATGTTTAGATTGTTTAGACAAAGTTATTTATGTAACTGGTATGCTTGTCCTTTTTGTTAAAGGCTTGAGCTTCTGAAATAATATCATTTGAATTATAAGACTTTTAAAAATTTAAGAGTTGAGATTGATAAATACTATTTTTTTTATGTCAACAATTACCTCTTTATATTGTATTGAGTCTTTATTAAAGAACGAAATGAAATTTATATAGTATTCCATATATTTGGCGCAAGTATCATGTGTGTTTCTTTTTTCTTTTTCTTTTTTTTGCCGAAACATGTGTGTTTCTTAGATAAATTGAAATGGAAGCAAAACAATTAAGTAAAAAAGAAATAATTAGACTAAATGAAATTTAGTTAGAAGGGGTTAGTAACTAAAGTATATATGAAGTTGTTGCTCCGTCATTTATCAACCAGAATCAATGATTAGAGGCAAGGAATTGAGAGAAGCAATAAAAATGATTACCACTGAGACCTCCAAAAGTTTCCTAACTGAATACCTGAGCACCACTGCTCGTGACGTTGCCTAGAAAGTAGAAGATATATAATTATTTACAGTTTGGGCGCACAAACACCCAAATGTATATGTTTGAGAAAAATGTTTATTAACTAAATTTTTAAAAATTTTAATAAAAAATACTTAAAATTATATCATTTCATTAAAATATTATGACAAAAGATATATTGAAATGATTTGGAAGAAATTATTATAAATATTGAACCTATTCAAGTGGTTAAATAGTAATATGAACTATGCTAAGAGTTTGAGAATATGGATTTGAATCTCTCTAAGGCACTGATTGGATGCAAAAACAATTTTAATGAATTATTACCTCATGTCTACCACTCTTGAGGTATAAAATCTAATCTTACCTAAGGAGGAACTACGATTCAATAACGAGTAGGGCCTCTTGTTTCTCTTTAAATAAGTTATTTATAGAACCACAGGACCAAAGGCAACTATGCCTAACTTTTACTTGATTTTTCTAAGTTATGTAGATAGGTTCTGTGTCTAACCCTAATTTAATATATGTTCATTGTCTTGGTCTTTCCTGATATTTATAGACGAAGTTTATAAATATCCATAAGATTTATCATGTCAAAGATTTAAATACTCATGTTATAAAAAAAAAAATTATTAGAGATGTCCTATATATAACTACGTGTATGTATACACATTTGGCATTTCCATTCCGATCAAATTTTAAGTCAGCGACATGCCACTAGTGTTAGTGAGAGCCATCCATCCTTTCCAATTGCTATTGTATTCATTTTTTTAAAAAAAAAAAAAAAGCAGAGGCGATCTTACCTAATAATTACTAATTTGTGTAAAATTAAGTTTCAGCATCTGGATTTTGCAGACAAAACTACAACAGATTTTGGTCACATATGTATGACGATTGCTAATCGTCAAAAAAAAAAAAAAAGTACTTGATTAATTATTAACCATGACAAAAAAATTTTTGTTACAGTCTGTTACCGTGGTCACTATACATTTCCCTGTGAGTCTGTGACCCTGTCATCCGAAGTCAAGAATGTTTTGAAATTCCATATGCTACAGCCTGCTGCTAGCTGCGTTGCTATCGTGGGTCGTTACTCGTAGTCTTCTGACCAATAAAACTCACGCAAATTTCTAATCTAACTAATTGAGTTTGTTCGGCCAAAAAAAAAAAAAAAAAAAAAAAAAGATATAAAAGAATGATAA